CGTAAGTATTCTTACGAAATGATTTGTTTCGCAAGTTTTCTTTCGCAATGCTTATTACGGAATTTAATTTACTATTTATATTTTCGTATAGCGCGTTACGGAATGTGCATTTTTGCATGTGCAACTTCCGCAATAACAATTCTATTACGGTAGATAAAAATGCGAAATTTTCGCAAGTTTTGTTTTTCGGCGAACAACCCTAACCTAAACGCAATATTTTTCTATGGATCTCCCTGACTACGCCATATTTAATTGTTCTCCCTGACTACGCGTATTTAATTGTTTCTAACATCAAACATTCGTTCAGGTAAATAGAATTATGCGTTAGCAAAGTTTTAATACATTTCTAACTACTCTGCATAAAATACAAAATATTAGGATATTTTTTTTATTTTGCATTAGTGTCTGTGAAGGAAAGAATCAGAGCTTAGTATACAATATTTTTTTATTGATTTAATTCGATGACATCTAGGTTTTCTTGAAATGTCAATTGTATTTAGGGTTTTTAATTTTTATGAAATGGCTATTTTTCAAAATCATTTATAAAACAAAAAATCTTGTGAAAAGAAGCATAGTTTACACTGAAAAGAAGCATAGAAACTTTTTTTTTTCAATAAAACTATAGCTTGGTTGCCTAAAATATAAAGCGTCTGCCCTACTTTAGAATGCCTTAGAATAGAATTTAGAAATTTAAAATATTATTATATATATATATATATATATATATATATATATATATATATATATATATATATATATATATATATATATATATATATATATATATATATATATATTTATATATATATATATATATATATATATATATATATATATATATATATATATATATATATATATATATATATATATATATATATATATATATATATATATATATATATATATAAAGTAAATATAAAAAAGTTCAAAAATTTTTTAACAACGTTTCTAGATTAGAATTTATTGCTCTTTAATGCTTTGTACTAAAATTTTTAAACTTTTAAGTTAAAGTTGGTTATTTTCAATTTTTACATGTATTTTGAAAAGAAAGCGTCCTTAGCAACATCTTTGCAAAAACTCAAAGACAATTTTATGACCTAAAAAATATTTTTACTACAAAAAAAAATGTTTATTAAAAAATAGGTAAAACATTTTGATGGTTTTGTAACCTATTAGTTTAGAAGGTATACCGATAATCCACCAAATTTAGATAAATATTGATATTAAAAAAAACTAGGTTTTTTTTCTGTTTTTTTTTTTATTTACCGTCAAGTTTACATTTTGAGCTTATATCGAGTTAACTCTTGCACAACGGAATAAAAGGTAAACATAGAAAACAATTTAGTCATCCAGTTGCACTCTCTTCTGATTGCGAAAATCACCTTTTGAAGATAATAAACGTTCTTTCTGATTGGAAAATGTATCAGGTGTACCAGGTCTATAAATCTTTTTTAAAGCCTAAAAAACTACCCATGAAACCCCGTGGGGGGAAGGAGAGGGTTTGCTTGATATTTGATTGAAATAACATTTACTATCAAAGTAACTCTGACATGCGTGTTTGCTTTGATGGTAAATGCTCCTCTGGGATTTTCAAAAAGCATTTTTTTTTCCTGTTAAGGAGAGATCATTCGGTATATTCAAACCAAAAACGGCAGCAATTTATAAAAAATTTATCAGAACTTTTAAAAAAAATCACGAAAGCTAATCAAAGTACCCCATTCGAAGGTAGATTAACGGTTTAGTTTAAGGGTATCAAAACTTCAAAAGCAAAAAAATTTGACTTACTAGGTTTAATGAAAGATTTGTTTTTTTCAATAAGAGCCTCCTTTTAAAATTTTATGATCATATAACGTGTACTTCCTTCTTAAAACAAATATTTTAAACTGGTGATAACATTTTTACGGCAAGATGTTTTTTTTATAAATTTGAAATCTATTGTCGAATTTATCTATAAAGTACATTGAAATATTTTTACTCGATATATATTGTTGATCTAGTTTAAAATGAAAAAGTAGAAATAAAGTTAAAAAAAAAAGTTATTTGGGGGTGTTATAGTTGGGTGAGTCTTTTACAGTATACTGTGTATATACTATACAGTTTACTGTATAGAGTTACATAGTACTGCATGGGTAGAGGGAGGAAATAAGCGTGAGAGAGGAGCTAAGAATATTTTTCAAATATTCTTAAATATTAAAATATTTTTTATTACTTCATTATTTTCTTAAGCCTATAGGGTAAAATGTTGTTAAATGGCAACATAACAGTTAAATACATAATGTCTTTTACAACATTTTACCCTATAGATTTATTGGTTAAAAAATATTATAAACTTCTTTATAAGCAATTTTGCAGTGAATTCTTCATCTTCGCTTGCATTTGACGTCCGTATAGGACGTCAATTGGGGCTGAAATACCAAAAGCCGCTACATTTTTAAATGTGCGTTATATTGTAAAGTAAAAAATCATTTTACGTGAAGCATTTGTTTACGTATACAATTAACATTTTTTTATGAAAAAATATAAAAACTTCAACCGAAGTTAAATATTTTAAGTAGGTAATATATTTTTATTGTGATCAAGGAAATGATGGCATTCGAGAGTGATTTAGTTTTTTTGATCAACAGTCTGATTCAAAAATTATTTTAATTTAACTCAATGTTTTTCAGTTGTACCTTTACAATATATAAAATATTTAATATATATAAAAACCGGCGTTAGCAATTTTCGGTATTTAGGGAAAATAAAATTGACTCTCTTATGCAGAGTTTTTTTCATGAAATATGACGCTTCAGGTTTAATGAAAAAGAGCAAGTGATCTAATACCTATGTTTAAAAGTTAAACTTAGCGTGACGTACCTTATGTATTACCCCTAAACCAGAAGATTTGTAATATATTCCAATTAAAGTAATTGCCTTTTAGTTTAAAGAAAAGAAAAAGATTCTAATTCGCATAATAAAATTCTAATTCTAGCAACTAGCAACCCGTAATATGGGTTATTAGTATTTAAATAATAATAACAATTTACTTTATAGCTAAAAACATATAAATACCACATAACATAAGTTTTAAAGCTCTTTTTAATATCATTTATACCGTCGCAACTTTATATTGCACCACAAAAGTGTATGCAAGTTCACTGTACTTGCATACACTTTTGCAAGTTCACTGTCCAAGCCGGCACAACTCAGAAAATAGTTACGCTTGCGTTTTTAAAACCTTCTAAAACAAAAAGAATAACACGTATCAAAAATGGTTTTTATTCCATGAAATTAACTATTACTATTTACCATAAATACCAGTTAAAGTATTAATGGTTTCACCGTAGTATTATATTGTAATAACTTTCTGTAAGGAATGTGAAACCACTGATAAAAACATGCGACATTTAAATTTGACTTTAAAACCTCAAATAACACGTGTTAAACTCTTGTAAAACTGCCCGTAATATACACGTGCTTTTGGTTTACGCCTGGATCGTGAAAAACACGTGCCTATATAGGTTATATTTCCGAAAAAGAAACTAGATGTGCCGGTAGGGGTACTTGCTTACACTTTTGTGATTTTTTGAAATATATTTTTATTATATATTAATAATATATTTTTTGATTTTTTCAAAGGTTTTGCAAGTTGTACTAAGTACAGTCTCTAAAAAACAAAAGAAAAAAAAAAAAACGCAAATAAAATCTACTAAATAAAAACAACAAAATAAAATCTATTTAAATGTTAATTAATTTTATTACACAATAGATTGTCATATTGCCGGATATACATGTAAGTATGTAAGCCTAGTATCACAACATCTCTAATATTCCTATTACTTAGCAAATGATTAGTATAACACTCTCATTAAAAAAAAGTATAAACAGTTATAAGCTGTTTTTTTAAGTTACCCGTAAATAAAACTGTTCCTACTTTGATGATCTGCATTAATTTTCTTTACTGTTACTAATGATTATTTAAGTAAGTTTCAAATAATGAAATTTACTAAATTAAAACCATTTTTTAACAGTAAGCCAACTGAAACAAAATAATGGCAATAGTCGAACTAAAAAAAAAATAAAATTAAAAATAAATAAATATTTAATTAATAGTGTGTATCACACAAATAAAGTCTTTAAATAAAAGTTTCACTTTCAAAAAAGCTGAAAACGCTCTTACAAAAATAAAGAAAATAAAAGAGGAAATAAATATAAATAAAATTACCAAAAAAAATCTTACTCATTAGCTTTTTTATAACGTAAAGGACTACCATTGAATAAAGATCTTGAATTTTTTTTTACATTCTGGTCAAAATAAATTTACACAATATTTTTCACCCACCATAAGTGAAAAATAAAAAATAGTTTTTTGTTCAATACGTTTTATGTTAAGATATACATTAAGCCTATCACATATTTTACCTTGACAATAATTGGTTGTCATTAAATATACTAATCAAGTCGGTAACTAATTAGTTTTAGTAAAAAAGCTTAATTGGAGTTTCTTAGAGTCAACTAAATTTGAGTAAGAAACACATGTGGGTTATTAAATTGAAGTTTTGTTTAATTCAACTATAACAACAGGTATCACAAAAACATAAACCAGTATTACAATCTTTACAAAAGTAATACCGTTTGGAATATAAAAATCACTATAGTATAAATAACACCCTATTATAGAAGAGTATAAACAGTTTTTATTTCAAAGAATAATAACTGTTTATACTCTAAAATGCCACTTACTTTTTTTTATCTTTAACATCATCAGTTAAATACTTAATTTACCAAAAAAGCAATAAAAATAGTATTAAAGTTAAAAATTGAATTAATAAACAAACTTTTATCTAAAAAGAAAATATTTATTAAGAAAATATATATTAAGAAAATAAGAAACTTCATATTTATATACTAAACCTTTTTATAGATATTATAAAATTTAGAAAAAAAGCTTATAACAATTGATAGTTTAAAAAAGAAAGACAAGCTAAATCTTAAAACATTTAATTTAAAAACTAAAATTTAAATTTGTATTTTTTAAGTATACTTTCCAACATCTATAACATACATATAAGACAGGAGTGTGAATAAAATAATTTTAAATAGTATTAAATTAACTAATTGCTTATGTTTTGCATCCTTGATGAGCAATGTTTAGCTTTCTTTGAAATGAAATTCGTTTAGATTTATTCCAAAGATGCACAAAAAATTGCAAATAAAACATAAAATGTGCTTGAGACATAAGCTTTGCAGACCGTTTGATTTTTTGAATGTAGCTGTTAAATTGTTCACATATTGATGTATTTACCAGAGATGAGGAGGTCAAACGACTATATTTAAAGACATTTGAACATTTATGCGTATATCCATGAAAAATGTCATGGAAAAAACGAGTTTTTGCAAAGTACTGTGATTCTCTGTTTTTGCAATATTCTGACAAATTGCAGGCAAAGTCATAAAATAAATCATTTGGGGCTTCTGGACAATGGGTATATAGTGATGCAGCAGGGTCTTTTCGACCTTCGCTACCTGGTATTACATGAAAACCATAACAATGCCCATGAACAGGACAGAACCAAAAAAAAGCATAAGTTGTTCCTTTCTTTGAAACAGAAGCAAATTGTTTATCACAGTTGACATCAGGATGGTCATCAAAAACAGATTTTTTATGATCTTCTTTATCTATAGTAAAATGACGCATTCTTCGAATTTGACATCCGTGTGGGGTAAAGTAATATGCGCGACCAAATTTTGCTGAATTATACGAGTTATCAATTATGTTTGCATCTGCACTAGGTTCATTGAAAGTATGGATGTTAATTATTGCTTTTGCAATATAGTCAACAAGCATGGCTACATCATAACATGGCTTTATATTAGAAATATTATTAAAAGAAGTAAACACAAGGCATGACAATTCTGGGCAATAATATTTTGATTCATGCACAAAACTATTCAGCTCCTCAATTGAAACAGTATTTTCCAGCACCAACATCATAAAAGATGATACATCTGAACAGAATCTAAATGGAATTAAGGAGTCCATTGATGCATCAGTTCCAAGTAACGAAAAGAAATCTGCTCTTCTTTCTTGCAGAGTACACTCTTTCCCAATAACCATCCTGTTGAAAGCAGCCTTAGCAAAGAGAGGTATAAAAAAATCTATAGAACTTGCTAAAAATGATACATTATCAACATCATCACAATTCTTTATTATTTCACAAATAGTACGGATAACTTTCCTTGCATGTGCAAAATCTTTAGGGTCTTTCTCTTTAGTGTTAGGGATGAAGCAACGATCAAACCTACGGAATGTTGTTTCTGGAACTTCATCAATCTCAGGAGTTTCTATAGCTTTTACAAATGTTTGTTTAAAGCCAATGCCAAGTTTTGTTCCATCACATGCTAAAATATGATTGCTGTTTCCGCACATTGTACATTGTTCTCGGAAGTCAATCCCCATGTGAGAAGCCCATCCAAAAAACCAATCAATAAAAACAGAATTAGACATAAACGATACTGCATTATTCATACGCTTGTATCTATTGGACATATTGGTAACAAAACCACTAAAAGTTTGACCACTGGTTTGAACTGAATCAACAAAGTCCCAACCAATGTCATAACCAGCACATGTAGATGAAGACAATCGATATACACAATGTTCTGCACCGTCCCAAAACCTAACACATGACAAATTGACACAACGTAGAAGAAAAACCTGTAACAATATAACACCTCTGTCAGTATATAAACTGGATGTTCCATTGGGAAAAAATCTTCCTTCTGGGTAAGTATTGTTAGTCCATCCAGCCTAAATATAATTCATTGTAAAATGTAATACCATGGTCTTTTCTAAAAAATTATAGATAAAAATCACACACAAAAAAGAAATACAGGGATATCATTAGTAATACAGCAGTAATATAAGAAGAAACCTACCACACATTCACAAATGCCATCCAAAAATGGATAAACTGATTGATTATGTATCCATCTGCTTCGTATATTTAGTTGTTCCACTAACTGCGGTAGTGGTGTAGTGGTAGAGCGCTCGCTTCATAAACGAGTGGTTCCGAGTTCGATCCCCACCACGTCCCTGGAAGTACCGCGCTCAACTTGTTTCTCCGCGCAGCGGCCTTGTTCGTCAAGGTTCGTGCTTCGGAGTTATAGAGTTGAGAGAGGGTTATAGCCACAAATAAGTAGCCTCCTCGTCTGTAGTGGCCTTCTCGGCCTTGAAGAGGTGAACTAAAATAATAATAATAAAAAAAAAAATTGTGGTGAAAATGGGTCTTGATCAACTTTTTGTTTACTGGGATTATTTATCCCAAATTTCCAAAGACCAGTAACTTCATCAAATACATCAATCCACTAGATAAAAAATTCATTTTAGAAGATAAAATTGTAAAATTGAACAGTAAAAAATAATAGTGCAATAGTACAAAAATATTTCTTTGCAATATTTAAAATTTGTTTTGAAATTTCTTGTTGCAATATTGCAAATTTGCAACAAATTGTTTTACATTAAGCTTGGATTAAGGAACTCAGGGGGGCCCTATCAAAGAAAGTTAAGGCAATACTATTTTTTGCAATAATGCAACAATGTAAAACACATAATGTAACAAACCAAAATGTAACATAATAAAAGTATGAAAAAAATAAAATAATAAAATCATATTACACAATGAATCCCTGGATCGCCTTAAATTTGAGCTCACATTCAGTTTACCGTTATTTTTACCATGACAACATCACTAGGAAGATTACTATCAAAAGATTAAAAAATGCTTCTACCCTTAACCAGATTAAAGTGTATATTTTTTATCTAAGTTTTTTTATTTCCTAGATGAGCCATCTTTATCACAACTAAGGCGCATTTTAAAACCTATAATTTTATACTTGAGCTATTAATTTGACTGTCATTAATTACAGAAGAAAATAATGGGCAGTCAACACAGACTGCCAGGAATGACTAAAACTGCTATTTTGACTTCCATAAATGAATTCTTGTCAGTCAATGTTGATGGTTTGAATAATATCAGAACTTTGCTTAAGATCTACTTCAAAAATACATATATTGAAATTTCAGAAAATTTTATTGAATTCTACACATAAATTCATTAAAACTTTTAACCATCAAAAATATTTTTAGTGTTTATGATATGTATACTTGCGCTATTGATGCATATTATATATGACTAAAACTAAAACTTTTTTTTTATCTTCTTTAAAATCATTTTTTTTTTTATAACTATAAAAAAAAATGATTTTAATTTAAACTATAATAAAGTGTTTTAACTAAAAACATTTTTACTTTTAACCATACTTTGCCTTTAATATTTCAACTGTAATTTTTACCACAATCATTATAAAAAAAATTAAAATCATTTTTTTTTATAACTATAAAAAAAAAATGATTTTAATTTAAACTATAATAAAGTGTTTTAACTAAAAACATTTTTTCTTTCAACCATACTTTGCCTTTAATATTTCAACTGTATTTTTTTTTTAAATTTTACTTGTAACTTTTTGTTGTCAATTGCGAAGTCATTGTAATGAATGAATGTTTTGTAAAGTACTAATTAAGAGATTATAACATACCAATTATGAGCATTTTTTTATTATATTATTATTATATTATTGAATTCTTTAAAAAAATTAATTAAAATGATCAAAACAGTTATTTTAAACTTAGCCTTTTACTTCAAAAAACTTTTAACAAGTTAATTTGTACGTTAGTTATTTACTTTAATGCAATGATTTTAATTAAAATTATTACTTTAAAAGTAAATTTATTTTTGAAGTTTAAAAGTTTAGTTGATAGTTAAACGTTTGAAGATTTATTATTTGAAGAATTTTTATTTTATAGACATTTTTATTTTAACTTAAATTTTATACAAAATTTATATTAAATAACTTTATACTTAAAATTTGTTAACACATAATTTTGTTTTATACTTAGAACCTATTTATTAAAGTACCAAAATGACCAGGTCTAAAAGTAACATATTGGTTCTATCAGGAATTAATATTTATGCTTATACCTATAACATAATCCATTATCAAACTAAAACTAATGAATTTAGTTTGATTTAAAAACTAAACCTAATGAATTTAGATGACTTTTTGGCTGTAGGTGATATGTAGCATTTGTATGTTAGTGATTTCCCTTTATTCAATCAGATTATTAAAACCTTTTTAATGGTTAAAGTTGTTGAAATGGTTTCAATTCAACTTGTTTCTTCATGCAGCGACCTTGTCAAAATTTATGTTTTGTAGTTGAAGAGTTAAAAAAGGGTTGTATCTACAATATTAAAAAAAAAAAGGAAAAAAAGAGAGTAACTATTCTCCTCGACTGCAGTGGCCCCCTTGGCCTTTAAACAAAAAAAGAAAGTAAAATCCATAAGAAATCTTACCTTTTGGTCAGGAAGTTCAATACCATCCATTGGTAAAATGTAATCATCAAAATCATCATTTAAGTTGCCACTAATAGAACTTAAATCCCAGCATTCTCTAAATTTGATTAGATGACAACAAACTTCAGAATCACTTGTTAAGTATTTAAGAGCTCATTAATCATACATAATGAGTTGTGCCATTGAATGACTCTCTTGTTACTACCTGAAACTTTATACACAGTTACAATTGCCACAGATTGGTTTGCCAAAACTTATTGACATTAAGTCGCGACGGTAATTCAATTACTGAAATAGAAGAAAACTTGAGCCCTTTGTTTACTACAGAAACATTAATGTAATGTGTATCACTTAAAACTGGCTTTGAATCCAAAACAGAGAGAAGACTTTTTAACAAGCAAACATGTAGACAAAAACCTACAACAGCATCATCTAAATTGCCGCTTGAAACAGAAAATATTTTGCAAGAACAATTATATATTGGAGATAAAGTTGAATTATACACACTTATATGAATGAAGTCATTACACTAAAAAACAAATAATATAAAAAAAAAAATTTTTATTCAGTGCATACAATGAATAGAAAATATCTCTCAAAATTAAAAAAATACAGAAAATACAAATTTTGTATTGACATAAATATGTAAAAAAAAACTATTAATAAGAATATTAAAGTTACTTACTAAGAAATCACCAGTGTTCGAATCATAGTCATTCATTAGAACTATATGCATAGCTTCATTAATGTATCTCCATTTTAAAACATCATGATTGAACAACTGTCCACTATAATATTGAAACAGATTTAATTGAACAGACGATGTGTTCTGCAAAAAAGGCAATTTATCTGTTGACAATGAAAGTTCTTCAACACTATTACTGTTAATACTTGTTGATAACGTTTCTATATATATTTTATTAAAAGGCCTTTTACGGTGCCCATAAGCT